CCTCTTCAAGTCACGAACATCTTGAAAGTCAACAAAAAAGGTTAAATCATGTCATCTGGACCATTTTGGTTTAAATGAGAAACCAACAGAGTCCATGCTCAATAATCCAGGCATACAATCCAACAATTTTCAGTCAGGTCATAAAGTGAGAAACGTTTCGTCCCCCATCCAGAGGACTTCCTCAGTCTACGGCCTCCCAACCAGATCTGTCCCATAAGTAGCCTTCACTGCTGTGTTTCACACCAACCTCCTGTTGGAATCTCAAAAGTAAGCTTTTAAAACGTGAAAATCAATCATCGTGTACAACAATCAAATGTTTTAGACCAGATCACAGAAACAGTCTGAGGACAACCAAGGCCAAAGTGGTTCAGAAAAAGTGTAAGCTCAATCATCCAGGTAGATAACAAGAAAAAAGGTTAAGTCATGTCATCTGGACCTGTTTTTTTTTTTACCATCTTGATGGTCAATTAACAGTTGTCAAGCAGAGAAAAGTGCATGTGCCCTCAGCATATGAATTTACTGACAGAGGCTTGAAGTGTCACTACATCTCCTCTGGTAACATATTGATGGTGTTCACAAGGCTCCCCATTACACTGTGCAGTGATAGACACGCTCTGCGATGGTGCTGGAGGTGTCTGCATCGCACATCGTCTCCCTCAAGCGTGCCAGCTCCCTGGTGCCAGACAGGAGGAGGAGGCGGAGGAGGAGGGGGTGAGAACGCTGTGAAGACAGAAGGGGAAAATAAAGATGAAGGCATAAAAGAAACAGGTTGTCTGAGGGGTACAGAGAGGAGTGGGTGAACATCAAGACGGAGAGCGTCTGAGGGAGGAGGAAAGGCCTTGATGAAAGGGAACAAAAGGAGGTGAAGAAAGCAAAATGAGGCGGGATTATTTGCATTTATTGTCAGTGGGCTGAGTGAATCATTAAAAAAATATGGTTCACATAGTTCCGTGGCTTCTTTGATCAAGTGAAATACTCTTTTGAAGCATAACACGTAAATCTAACGTCCAACGAAACTGTTCCCGAGTCAAGGTTGAACAGGTTCGTATGGTGGAAGTGAAACCTGCCGTTCTTCTGGTCAGTGCGGGTCAACGGGGTCAGGCTTGTAAGATGAAAGGAGAGGCTTCGGTTGGTTGAGTCCAAAGGGGGGAAGGAGAGGTCAGGAAGTGGCCCCCCAGCAAAAACACCAGACTCATTGTTCAAGTTCAAGGTAACACTGAATGAGGTTTTTATTCACTCGGCTCAGCCTGGCAGCCTGTGACGAGGAGGGATTTCAAAAAAGGCCCATAATTAGAGGAAAACATCGCCCTTGGCATCATCTGACGCGGGTGTCATGCTGTTATAATTGTAAACTAATTATGCGGCTTTTATCTATTTAATTAGACGGTTTTGATGCTGACTTGAGGGAGCGTTTGGAAAGGAAAAACCTCCTTGAAATCTTACGTTTAAAGCGCGACCTGCGCTCAGGTGCCCCCCTTCAGACAATGAACAAGGTCACAGCCAGAGGGTCAGATGTCAGGGAGGCTGTCTCCCCCACCATCCTCCCTCCTTTCCTCTATGTTGTGTCTGCTCAGTCGTCAGCTCCTCATTAAGTCCTCACAGGGGGATTTCCTGTTCGCCTCCTTCACTTCCCCATTCCTGCTCAAAAAAAAATAAAAATGGAGCGGCGTATTAGCTCTTTTAACAAAGCATGAATAATTAAACCCTTCGCAGTTTCTGTGCTTGTGAACGAACGGCTTAAAGGTTGTAACTGCGCACTCGGAATGCAGGAGCTGCAGTCGGAGCAGCAGAAGCCGAAGCTTTGGGAAGTTGAGGCCTGTAATTGATAACTTTGTGCTCTCACTAAAATACAGTACAACACACACACAGATAGAGGCGCATAATTCAGCGTCTGACTCACTCCCTTTAACAGAAAGTCAATAACAATACAGGAATGATTAATCAGTCTCTCTGTGGCCCCTCCCTCAGTGCTCACCACCTTCCACTCTCTCGCCTCAACCCCTCTCGCCCTCTCTCAGCTCTCTATTGATCTGAATGCATTTGCCTCCCATTTAACCGTTAGCATCCCTCCCCCATCGCGTATGCGCCACCACTGCATTGAGCGGCCACAAAGAACCTTTTACGCACGAGTGTCTTACATGTGCACAAACACATGCGTGTGTGCCGCACACACCAATGCAGCGTGCACAGCCGTCTGACACTACTGTAGGTGCTACTCAACTATTGCACCGAGGGATTTGGCTTGATTATTCTGGGCTGCAAATTAGTAGGGTCCATTTCACATCGCAGGTGCACTGGGTGTGTGTGCATGTGCACACTCGCCTCGGGACAAAGCAAAGTTCTTAAAGGTTTTAACTGGCAGCCCCCTTCTTGCCATTCTGCTTGGTGGCACACAGGTTGCCATGACACCAGACTGTTTTGTCTGCCCTTTGACCTCTTTAAGGGGTCCTGTGGTAAATCAGGCATTACATGTGAGGGGCAAATAGAAGGGAGGAGGGGGGATGAGGGGGAGGTGGGACATTTCCTCTTTAAAGATGAAGTCCAAAGGGTTCCACTATACATCCGCTTTGTAGCGAGCAGAAGGTGGGGAGCCTCTGAGAGGCTCGCAGCGAAACAAAGACACATGTGCACATGCAGGCATGGCAGCTCAGCGAGAGTAAATGAACCAGGCTGGAGCTCCCAGGAGGTGGGGAGTTATTATGCTCATTGTGCAGTCGGCCAGCTAAAGCTGCTTCTTTTGAAGTTATATTTATCAAGCCGGAGCAGGAGGCTCAGCGCTCCGAGCTGGTGCATTGCTTTGTCCACACTGCAAACTGCATGTGTGCACTCAAATAGCTCTTAATTTTTTTTCTTCTTCTTCTTTCTTTCTTTTCAGGATGTGAACACCCTCAAAATGTTTATCCAAAGGATCTTAGAATTAGATTTGGCGCTGCTGCTTTGCGTCCACCTTCAGCTGATACCTTCCAGCAGTGAAGGCAGAAGTGATTGTGTCTGACAAAGTTAAGATCAGCGCTATTTTACTGCAGATCATGTTCGGATGTTTGCAAATATCCAAACACAACTCTCAGGAAGCACAATAAACTGAGCATTCTTTAAAAGTTATTTCAGGAACTCAGCTGTGGAAATTGCTTTTTGCACTATTAATTCCTCTTTTCTACAGGCCATAATGTTATTTTTACACAAGAATAATTTAATTTATCCCTGTGTTAATACAGTTTAATCACTTGTATTCATCATATTCATCACAAAATGATGACTTTAAAACATTTTCTTTTGTGTCCTTATTGCATAAAGAGCAGAAAGTGTCTGAATGTTTATGAAGCGTTCACACAACTGTGATCCGTTTTTCTTCCGAATGTTTTTTGACGTGATTCTTGTCCCGCAGTTTTCAAGTTACTTCAACAAATCATGCATCAAAACATTCAGCTCGTTCAGAAGAAGGGTGCTCTATGACTTTTGGTATTGGTTCAACTTTAGCTTTTTTAAATATGTAGCCTTTTTGCCACCTTTTTCCGTAGAAAATGAATTGAGCTCATTTTACATCCTTCAAATCTTTAGATCTGTTTACAAGCTTTTACTGCTCCTTTCACATTTTGTTCTGGTTCAGTGTGCAAATTGAAAAAAAAAATTCAGCTACTTTCTGCTACTTTCAGCTGTTTTGTGCTCCTTTCAGATTCTTTCTGCTAACTACAACGTTTTTGTGCTTCTTCAAATTTTTTTCTGCTAATTTCAGCTTGTTATGCTCCTTTCAGCTCTTTTCTGCAAGTTTCAGCTTTTTCTACTATTTCAGCTACTATATAGCTGTTTTATGCAAATTTAAGCTTTTTCAACTAATTCAGCATTTTTTGCATTTCAACTTTTTTCAGTCTAATTCAACAAAAATGTGCTCTGTCCACTTCCTTCTTGTAATTTCAGCTTCTTTCTGCTCTTTTAGCTCTTTTTCATCTGTTTTTTGCTCATTTTAGTTCTTTTCATATAATTTCCACTTTTGTGTGCTCAAGTTTGGTTCTTTCAGCCTAATTGGACAAACCTGTTATTTTTTGCTTTCTTATGCTAATTTAAGCTTGTTCTTTATTTTCAGCTACTTTTTTTAAGCTAATTTCAGCTGTTTTCAGCTAAATTAATTTTTTTGTGGTAATTTATATTACTTTTAGTTTAATTAACTTCTTTCTGCTAATTTCATCTTGTTATGAAATTAATTTCATTGCACTTTTTTGAATTGACAATAAAGGTTGATTCTGATTCTGATTCTGGTTATGCTCCTTTCAGCTTTTTTTTCTACTAAATTCAGAAATTTCGGCTATTTCAGCTACTTTAGCTGTTTTTGTGCTAAATTTGGATTTTTTTTTTTTATTCCAAATTTTTTTGCTCGTTTCAGCTCTTTCCACTACCTTCTGGTAGTTTAGGCTTCTTTCTGCCTTTTCAGCTTTTTTTTTTTTTTTGGGGGG